CCAAAACCATCCCGAGGGTGAACGGGACGCAGACCCCGGGGGTCTCCTCTGCCCTTTAGGGTGGCCCAGAGACCCCCCAGGGTTCCCATTTCCCCCCTGCACACCCAGGGTGGTCCCTGTGCCAACCCCGGGGGTCTCCTCTGCCCTTTAGGGTGGCCCAGAGACCCCCCCAGCGTTCCCATTTCCCCCCTGCACACCCAGGGTGGTCCCTGTGCCAACCCCGGGGGTCTCCTCTGCCCTTTAGGGTGGCCCAGAGACCCCCCCAGGGCTCCCATTCCCCCCCCTGCTCCCCCAGGGTGGTCCCTGTGCCCATGTCCGAGCTCCGGGTGGCACCAGGGGAGGGTCAGGTTGGGAATTGAGGGGGAATTTCCCCATGGAAAGGGTGGTGAGGCCTCGGAAGGGGCTGCCCGGGGAGGTGCCACCTTGGAGGTGCCCAGGGAGGTGCCAGGACACCTTGGGGGTGCCCAGGTAGGTGACAGGGACACCTTGGAGGTACCCAAGGAGGTGACAGGGACATTTTGGAGGTGCCCAAGGAGGTGACAGGACACCTTGGGGGTGCCCAGGGAAGTGCCAGGGACACCTTGGGGGTGCCCAGGGAAGTGCCAGGGACACCTTGGGGGTGCCCGGGAAGGTGCCAGGGACACCTTGGAGGTGCCCAAGGAGGTGCCAGGACACCTTGGAGGTGCCCAGGGAGGTTCCAGGACACCTTGGGGGTGCCCAGGAGGTGCCAGGGACACCTTGGAGGTGCCCGGGAAGGTGCCAGGAACACCTTGGAGGTGCCCAAGGAGGTGCCAGGACACCTTGGAGGTGCCCAGGGAGGTTCCAGGACACCTTGGGGGTGCCCAAGAAGGTGCCAGGACACCTTGGGGGTGCCCAGGGAGGTTCCAGGACACTTTGGGGGTGCCCAGGAGGTGCCAGGGACACCTTGGGGGTGCCCAGGGAGGTGACAGGGACATCTTGGAGGTGCCCAGGGAGGTGAGAGGGACACCTTGGGGGTGCCCAGGAGGTGCCAGGGACACCTTGGGGGTGCCCAGGGAGGTGCCAGGGACACCTTAGGGGTGCCCAGGGAGGTGCCAGGACACCCTGACGGCCGCGGCTCTTCCCAAACAAAGCCCGACGGCGGCACCCGCTGGGCACTGACCCGCTGGGCACTGCTGGGAAATTCAAATTAAAATAAAAGTCATTTCAAAAATTAAAAAAAAAAATAATATATATAAGTTCTTAAAAAATAAAAAATAAAATATATGTATTTTTAAAAAAATAAAATATATGTATTTTAAAAAATAAAAATAAAATATACATATTTTAAAAAATAAAAATATACGTATTTTACAAAATAAAAAGTAAAACATATATATTTTAAAATAAAAATAAAATATACGTATTTTAAAAAATAAAAATAAAATATGCGTATTTAGAAAATAAAAAATAAAATATATATATTTAAAAAAAAAATAAAATATACGTATTTTAAAAAAAAATAAAATATATATATTTAAAAATAAAAATAAAATATAAGTATTTTAAAAATTAAAAATAAAATACACGTATTTAGAAAATAAAAAATAAAATATATATATTTAAAAAAATAAAATATATGTATTTTAAAAAATAAAAATAAGGCAATTAAGCCAATTAAACAAGCAGCACAATCCCCTCGTGCAGTTCAACTCGTGTTTGCACCTAAAAACCAATTCCCAAACCTGCCAAGCCCCAAAATCCCAGAAGATCCCCCCCCCCCGATCCCGCCAGTCCCATTCCATCCCCGCAGGAAACAAGTTTTCCATCCCGAAGTCTTCCCTCCAAACCTCCAAAGCGCAACTGGGGGGGGGGGTGTCGGATCCTTCCCAAAAAAAGTGTTTCTGGAAGTTTTAATCCCAGGCAAACCCCCCCGGTGGGATCCCAGAAGGGCGCTGGAATTTCCGGGTGCTCCGGGAAAAACAGCTCCAGAGGGAAGGGAATCCCCTGGCCAGGGAATCAGGGGAGGTGGAGAGCGGCGGGAGTCGGGGGCGGGGGGCGCAGGGAGGGGCTCCAGGGCCTGGCACCGCCCTTATCCTGCAGGGAAACGGGGGGGATTCAGCACATGGAGACCCCCAAAAACCTCTGGGGCCCCCCAGGGGTCAGCCGGTACTTCCAAGAAGGCCGTGGAGACCAGGGCGGGGTCCAGCCTCTTCCTCCGGAGGGAAGGAGGCTGCGGAGGAGAGTTGGGGAGGGTGGGAGGGGGACCCCAAACACCCGGGGGGGACACGGGGGGGGGTCACCGCGGAGGGGTCGGGGAGGAACCGGGACCATCTCACCCTCCTGCCCGGCTGGACCACGGAGTAGACGGTGCAGCTCCCGGGGCGCCGCTGGTACCGGGGCTCCTCCTGCTGGGACGCACCGGGAAAAGCGAGGTTTGGGGGGAAAAGAGCGGATTTGGCAGCTGGGAGAAGCAGATCCGGCCGGGGGTGTGCACGGGGGCAGCTCCAGACCCTCCCAGGAGCGACCCCAAGAGCGACCCCAAGAGCAACCCCAGAAGTGACCCCAGGAGCGACCCCAGGAACGACCCCAGGAGCGACCCCAAGAGCGACCCCAGGAGTGACCCCAGGAGCGACCCCAGGAGTGACCCCAAGAGTGACCCCAGGAGTGACCCCAGGAGCGACCCCAGGAGCGACCCCAGAAGTGACCCCAGGAGCGACCCCAGGAGCGACCCCAGGAGTGACCCCAGGAGTGACCCCAGGAGTGACCCCAGGAGNAGAACACCTTGGGGGTGCCCAGGGAGGTGCCAGGACACCTTGGAGGTGCCCAGGAGGTGCCAGGGACATCTTGGGGGTGCCCAAGAAGGTGACAGGGACACCTTGGGGGTGCCCGGGGGGGTGAGAGGACACCTTGGAGGTGCCCAGGGAAGTGCCAGGACACCTTGGGGGTGCCCAGGGAGGTGAGAGGACACCTTGGGGGTGCCCAAGGAGGTGCCAGGGGCACCTTGGGGGTGCCCAGGGAAGGAGTGGCCGTGGCACTGAGTGACAAGGTGGGGATGGGTCAGACGATGATCCCAGAGGTGTTTTCCAGCCTCGGTTATCCCGGAATTCCACGGGATGAGTCACCAACACTTGACCTCCCTCCCGCCGGGAAAAGGCCCGGGTTTGAATTCCAGCCGGGATTTGAATTCCAGCCGGGATTCCTCCCTGCCAGCCGACCCCCGGTGCCTTTGTCCGGGATTTGCGGGATTTGCGGGACAAAACGGCCGCGGCTCTTCCCAAACAAAGCCCGACGGCGGCACCCGCTGGGCACTGACCCGCTGGGCACTGCTGGGAAATTCAAATTAAAATAAAAGTCATTTCAAAAATTAAAAAAAAAAATAATATATATAAGTTCTTAAAAAATAAAAAATAAAATATATGTATTTTTAAAAAAATAAAATATATGTATTTTAAAAAATAAAAATAAAATATACATATTTTAAAAAATAAAAATATACGTATTTTACAAAATAAAAAGTAAAACATATATATTTTAAAATAAAAATAAAATATACGTATTTTAAAAAATAAAAATAAAATATGCGTATTTAGAAAATAAAAAATAAAATATATATATTTAAAAAAAAAATAAAATATACGTATTTTAAAAAAAAATAAAATATATATATTTAAAAATAAAAATAAAATATAAGTATTTTAAAAATTAAAAATAAAATACACGTATTTAGAAAATAAAAAATAAAATATATATATTTAAAAAAATAAAATATATGTATTTTAAAAAATAAAAATAAGGCAATTAAGCCAATTAAACAAGCAGCACAATCCCCTCGTGCAGTTCAACTCGTGTTTGCACCTAAAAACCAATTCCCAAACCTGCCAAGCCCCAAAATCCCAGAAGATCCCCCCCCCCCGATCCCGCCAGTCCCATTCCATCCCCGCAGGAAACAAGTTTTCCATCCCGAAGTCTTCCCTCCAAACCTCCAAAGCGCAACTGGGGGGGGGGGTGTCGGATCCTTCCCAAAAAAAGTGTTTCTGGAAGTTTTAATCCCAGGCAAACCCCCCCGGTGGGATCCCAGAAGGGCGCTGGAATTTCCGGGTGCTCCGGGAAAAACAGCTCCAGAGGGAAGGGAATCCCCTGGCCAGGGAATCAGGGGAGGTGGAGAGCGGCGGGAGTCGGGGGCGGGGGGCGCAGGGAGGGGCTCCAGGGCCTGGCACCGCCCTTATCCTGCAGGGAAACGGGGGGGATTCAGCACATGGAGACCCCCAAAAACCTCTGGGGCCCCCCAGGGGTCAGCCGGTACTTCCAAGAAGGCCGTGGAGACCAGGGCGGGGTCCAGCCTCTTCCTCCGGAGGGAAGGAGGCTGCGGAGGAGAGTTGGGGAGGGTGGGAGGGGGACCCCAAACACCCGGGGGGGACACGGGGGGGGGTCACCGCGGAGGGGTCGGGGAGGAACCGGGACCATCTCACCCTCCTGCCCGGCTGGACCACGGAGTAGACGGTGCAGCTCCCGGGGCGCCGCTGGTACCGGGGCTCCTCCTGCTGGGACGCACCGGGAAAAGCGAGGTTTGGGGGGAAAAGAGCGGATTTGGCAGCTGGGAGAAGCAGATCCGGCCGGGGGTGCGCACGGGGGCAGCTCCAGACCCTCCCAGGAGTGACCCCAAGAGCGACCCCAGGAGTGACCCCAGGAGCAACCCCAGGAGCGACCCCAGGAGCGACCCCAGGAGTGACCCCAGGAGTGACCCCAGGAGTGACCCCAGAAGTGACCCTACCTGTTTTGGGGGGCAGACCACAGCGTACACGGTGCTGGGGGCCTGGGGGGCCTCAAAGTTCCCATCCTGGGGGAGGGAAAAACCCCAATATTATTAAAAAAAAATACCCCCAAACAGCCAGAGGTGGTTCAAAGGCTCAGCTCGGGGTGAGCAGCAATCCCAAACGGGGTCCCCGTCCCTCAGGCAGTGTGGGGTTGGAACATCAGGAGGAATTTCCCCCTGGAAAGGGGGGTCAGGCCTTGGCAGGGGCTGCCCAGGGAGGGGGGGAGTGCCCAGCCCTGGGGGTGTCCAGGGCAGGACTGGAGGTGGCACCGGGGGCCAAGGTGGGGATGGGGCACGGGGGGGACTGGATGCTCTTGGGGGGCTTTTCCCACCTGAATTATCCCGGGATTCTGTGTGGGAGGGGACACCCCCAGCACTCACGGGGTCCTGGCTGGTTTTGTCTCTTCCCAGCTCCTCGTAGATGGTCAGGGGCTCCTCCACGTGTCCGGGGGGGGCTTTGAAGGGTCAGTGGGAGACATCAGAATCCCTGGATTTGGGGGGCTCGGCCCTCGAGCAAAGCAAAGCAAAGCAAAGTAAAACGAAGCAAAGCAAAGCAAAGCAAAACGAAGCAAAGCAGAGGGAGAAAAAGGTCCCTCGGCAACTGGGAGGTTGGATTTGTTGGGCAGCTCGGGATAAAGTGAATATTCCCGAGTGGAAATTGCCCTCTGGATCCCGCCTGCTCCAGGTTTGGCTTCCCGGGGTGCTTCATCCTGCAGGGATGGGCAAAGGCTTCTGCCCCGGGCAGGGGGGTGACAACACCCTGTCCTTCATCCCACGTCAGCCCCAGGGGCAGGAGAATCCCGGGAAAAGCACGACTGGGGGCAGGAGGAGGGTAGAGAGGCACCTAACCCCCCCCCAGCTGCCCATCCCACCAAATCCCGCACTGACACCCCCCTCCAGGACAAACCCAAACCTTCTGGGGTTTTTTCCCTTCGCCTCCTCCACCAGCAGCAGGTGACGAGCAGGAACAGGGGCAGTGCCACGGCCGAGGCCACCGCAGGCCACAGGATGAGCTGGGAAAGGTCTGGGGAGGAAGCACAGAATCCCAGAAGGGTTTGGGGTTGGGGTTGGGGTTGGGAGGGACCTCTGGGATCATCCAGTCCAACACCCCCTCCCCGGCCAAGGAAGGGTCACCCCGGAGTGACGGGACAAGGGGATGGTTCACACTGACAAAGAACAGCTTGGGTTGGGGTATTGGGAAGGAATCCTTCCCTGGGAGGGTTGGGAGGGGCCTGGCAGGGGTTTCCCAGATAAACTGTGGCTGCTCCATCCCTGGGAATGTCCAAGGCCAGGTTGGAGCAGCCTGGGATAGAGGGAGGTGTCCCTGCCCAGGGCAGGGGGTGGGACTGGATGGTCTTTAAAGTCCCTCCATCCCAAACCATCCCATGATTCTACGACTCCCTAAATTAACACATTTGCCTTTTACATAAAAACAAAACACATAAATAAGTATATCTTTATATATATATTTATGTGATTTTTTTTTTCTTTTCTAGTGCTTTCGAGCACTGATTTCTTTTTTCCCCTAGTGCTTCTGAGCATTGAAAATACGTTTGTTTGGGTTGTTTTTTTTTTTTTTTTTTCTCGTGACCTCTGAGATCTGGGATTCTTGGGGCTGGATGATGCACGTGGGGTCCCCTCCCGGCTCGGGAATTCCGCGATTCCCGGGGGAAAATCATCACCTGAGCGGCGACAGAAGCCGGCGATGTCGGCGCTGGCCACGCCCCAGCTCACGGGGTTGCTCGCGTTGCAGAGGCAGAGGGTGGGATCGGCACCCTCAGGGACCCGCTGGAACAGCCGCGGCTGGTTGTGGTGCCCCGGGGGGGCTCCAGAGGCATTCCCGCTGCAGTTCCAGCTGTAGGAGACGCTTCCAGGAGCGGGAACGGAGCAGGACAGGGAGATGTTGCACCAGCCCCGCTCCCGGTGAAGGGTCTGTGCCTGCAGCTCCGGCCAGGGAATGGGATCTGGGGGGACAGGGGGGCTGAGAGGGGACGGGGGGACAGAGGGACGGGGGGACAGAGGGACAGGGCGATGGGGACCCGGCTGCTCACCCCACACCCGCACACAGAAGGACAGGACGGTGACAGCGCCCGAGGGATCCTCGAACTCGATCTTATAGACCCCACTGTCCTCCTTCCTAAGCGGGGAGATCCTCAGGGAGAGGGTCTCCGGCTGGAAAACGGCTCTCCCAGGAAAAGAACCGGCGGTGTAGGAGACATTTCCACCTCTCCAGGCCGTCAGGATCCGTTCCCGTGGTCCTGCACTCCTGACCACTCTCCAGTGGATCTCTGCCCACTCCTGGTGGTGCCTCTCCGGCCGCAGCTCCAACATTCCAGCGCTGGACACGGCTCGTTCCCGGCACTCCCGGGTTCCTGAGGCAGAGGGGGATGAGCCCCAGGTGAGATTGTGACCCCGGAGATGCTCTGTGGGCACGGGGGGACACGGCCACAGAGCCCACTCATGGTCCAGACCCCCAGCACAGCCCCTCGTGTCCCATCTCCACCCCACAGATTCCACTCCCTCCTCGTATCTCTTCCCCATCCCCATCCCGGGATAATTTCACCCTCTGG